AAATTGGAAAAATTAAATTGGCTGGTAATGTGAAACTAAAAGGAAAAATTTCCCGGGAACCAGACAGAAAGCAAGAAAGAGGAGGATACCTGAAATAAGTTGGAGATTGGGGATGGAAAAGAGGCCGGACTAAGGCTTTAGTAGATAAACAGCAACAGAGAATGGAAAAAGAGATGCGCCACGATTTGAAAATTAATATTTATTGCACTATTTTTTGTCTTTTTATTATTACATTTACACCGCCAGCCATTCGAAGGAAGACCGAATATGGCCTTTTGGTGCTCCCCCTGCTCGTACTCTCCGCCCTCTTCTACCTTTTATATATATATATATACATATGAAAATAAAATTTATCCATCCTATCTCAAAAAAATATCTTAATATTATATCATTTTAATAAATTTTTATTAAAAAATATTAAAATATTTTATTTTTAAATTATAAATTAAAATATTTTTTATCCTTCTATATAATGCTTTATTAAAGTTACATAATTTTAGTTTAATTTCATATACGTAATCTTTAAACACTAATTCATATATATATAGACAATGATATGCATTGTACTTTATTTTTTATATTTAATAATAATAAATTATATTAGCATGGATAGACTTTTTCTTTTTTAAAATTTTTCTTTATTTGACCAAAAATTTAAATTTAAAATCTTTAGTTTAAAATTTTAAATTTTTAAATTTTTTTTATTAAATAAAATTTTAAATATTAAACCAGTACTTTACTCTCTCTCTTTTTTCGTTTTGTTTTAAAGTTTGGTTGGTGAAAATTGTACATTATATGATTATTGATAAAAATTTAGAAATTCTTTTGTCAGTGATTATAAAATATGTAATTTTTACATAATGATAGTATTATATTTTTTGCATTCCTTTGAAGAGACATCATTATTCATTATCCACCCTCAATGCGAAGCAATTCAGGGAGTATTTGAAAATCGTTATATCTTGTAAGTTTTTATATAATTTTTTTTTGTTAATAAAGTTCTTATATTGGTATTCTTTAGTACTTAGTTGGTTTTTCGGCCTTCACTTAGTTAGTAAAGTTGGTAAAATCTTTTTTAAGAAAGGATAAAGATATGTGCACACCCGGGTGTGCACACTCCCCATT